TGGCTATTTAATAGCTGGGGACCGCGGTGACGTATGGCTGAGCGCTCGCTGGCACGGCTCCTCATGAACCAGTCAGCGGAGCGAAATTGAAGCTGACAAGACTTTTCTGGCGTTTTGGAAAGGACTGTAATCTACTGTAGGGGAGAACAGAGCCGCTCAATCACCGCCGCCGTAAATAGGAGACGGAAGGGAGTGAGAAAGGAGGCGAAGAGAAAAAGTGCTTGCTGGGGGGGGAGGGGGGGGCGGCATTTTTGGTGGATGGTATGAAGCCAGCCATGGAAACTGCAGCGGAGGAAAATGCAGAACAAAGCCAAGAGAAAAAAGGTACCCAGGGGTCTAACAATAGCCTGTTTAAATCTTTTCATTCAGGGGGCTTAAAGAGGTTTAGGCCAGTTTTGTCACTTTTTCGAATAGCTCTTAAACAATCATTACTGCATCTTCGGGCTTTCAGCTGTCCTTTCCTGCATGGCTTGACAACAAATTAATAGAGCAGCAATCTTTCTGTCTGTGTCTGTATTTGCTCTCAATCTGTCCTAACCCTACCAGAAATGATGTTTGCAAAAGAAGCCTTGTTATTGCTGCATCTTTGATGGATTTTGGTAAATTTGGTTTACAGAGGTAGCGTGTGCCTGTGTGTTTGCATGTCGTTCTTAGAGCTGTAATCTGGTGTTTTCATTGAGACTAGCCATCTAGCAAGGCTTTGCAATGCAGTGTGGGAGACCTAGGTTATAATAACATATAATAGATTGTAATATCACACAACCTTTGTGTAGTTAGCTTGGTGCCAAATGCTGCTCTTAATTTTAAATTCATTTTCTATGGTGTTGTCTGGCAAATTTTGCTTTTGTAGAGATCTCCCAGCGCTGTGATAACGGGGAATAATGCAATGAGTTTCACAACATTAGATTTCAGGATGTGTTAATCACCAAGACTTGCTGCTTAGTGGAGAGAACAATTCCATGGTAGTGGTTCTGCGGTAGGGAGATGACAGCACAGGAGGAGAGAGGTGCTTCATCCATCCCAGCCTTACAGGTGATTTATTTGGTTTGGAGTGCTGAACTTCAGTGGGTAAATTCAACTAGCAAAGGACTAGTTTGTTTCTGTATCATATAATGTATGCCAAATAAATATCCCTCTTCAGTGTAGCAGACTGCTGTACAAATCATGGCAGTATTTTTTTTTGCTAAATAATACATCAGTAAGCAAAATTATTTAGATTTCCACTGCCTTTTTACGAGTCGTAGTATACTTTTGAACCTGTTGTGTGTCAGTTAAAGCAATCTGAATATCTCATAGGCATATGCAGCTGATACACAACTGATTCATTTCCCCAAGTAGAATTGTTTAATTTATTGTTAAACGGTTTAGATGTGAATGTAATGATAAATCCTGGTACTGTCCAGTACCAGATTTTGTTTTCCTACTTTGAATCTGATTCCTCCTACACGCTTTGTATAATTCAAACCTAGCTTCAGTTTCAAGTAAATGAAATTTGTCAAGTGATTAGACATAGTACTACATAATCCCTTAGGGATTTCACAAAAGGAGGTCCACTGATGAGAGATTAAACTCTGAAAGCCATTAGTGTATGTGGACAATAACCCACCTCACTGTAGATTTTGAGTAATTAATGTACAAAATGTCCTAAATACCTTGGCTATAACCCCGTCTTGAACTCATAGATCATTCTTCAAAAATTACAGCAGTTTTTTCTTCTGATCGATGAGTTTCTTTTAAACTGATAGAATTCATACAATAAACACCAAAGAAAGTTATCCGTATGCATTAGCAGCTGTGCAAAATGAAATGTGTTGCTGAGTGTGTTTATGATGAGTTTATGGTTTCCCTTTTATTTTGGCAAGGATGAAAGCACAACATGTAGAATGGTAAATCTGTTACCAAGTTGAGGTGGTTGATCTGTTGCTTTCACAGGAGGCAGGCAGGGGAACTTCCTATCTTAATTTTACCACCATTTCTTAGTTTTTCTGTGGTAATTTTATACAGTGGATCTGTTACATAGGTATGTGTATGTAACACTTCAGGGCTTTGTTCTTGCCAGTTCCCTAATTTCTGAAAGTAACACATGGTCTCTCACATTATGCTCTTTATTTCTGTTCACTTAAAATTCCCAATATGTTTCACAGTGAATTAAAATGCAGAAAGCTGAAACAGTCCTACTCCTAGTTTCAATGGCAAAATAAATAGCCCAGATCCCCCTGCAAACTTGCTACTGTGAAGCAGTGATGTAGGAGGCATATTCGGGTTTGGGGGGCAGATTTTCCGAAGTGCTAAGACTGTCTAGCCCAGTCGGGTTTTTAGATGGGCTCAGCAGGCAGGAGGTACCTCCGAAACAGCAGGATTTTTTTTCAAAAGGGCTCTTTCGGCAGCAGCTCGCTTTCGTGGAGAAAAATGAGCTTTTTCTCTTATGTCAAGAAACTTCCTGGGAAATGCTGCCCCGTTGCTTTGGGGTGTAAAACGGAAAGTGATCCCTTCAAAAATGTGTCCATTTACTGTCCGGACTGGATCTCTTGCCTGCTGTGCCTAACATGCTTGCTGGGCTTGCAACACTTGCTTCTGCCTCTAAGATCCCACCTGGACTGAGTGTAATGGCCGTCCTTTATGAGATGCCCTGCATCCAGTGACGGCGGGGCAGCCACCAGAGCTTGAAGCAATTGCAGCGCTATCACAAAGTCTTTTAACTCTTCCTTCCAGATATGAATTGCAAAGTCCAAGGAGATAAACCAGTGTCAGAGGGGGTTGGGGAATGTAGTTTTTGCTAATACTGAGCAAGACGAGATCGCAGTCAGTATGCTTTGCACTGCCAAGTTCAGAGGAAAGTATCTGCATTTATCTATTAGCAGATTGTACTTTTCAGCTATGAGTTTTTTCCCCCCCTTTACCAGCACTTTAAAGTACAGGTTTCCAGGTTGTGATTTTTTTAATGCAAGGACCTCCTTAATGGTGCACTGTAATTGCACAGAATAAATACTTGGAGGAAGTTGGGCTGGGACTACATGTCCAGCTGCTGGCCCCTATATCCAGGGCTCCTTGTACTCTGGTGGAGAATGCTGGAAAGCAATGCTGCCTGAGCACTTGGGATGAGCAGCCAGAGCTGTTTTCAGTTCGAGCACCTAATACAGTCAGATCTGAACGGTGGTGTCACATAGGTACTGGTTTGCGTTTCCCATCCCTGTGGCAAATGCGGATGGGCAGCTATTTTGGACTGCAGCATAGCTGAGACAATGTACACAAGCTGATGTGCTTTATGAATATTTACTGATTGATAAATGAAAATGACTTATCTCATTTAGGTTTCTAAAGTTCACTAAATTGTATGTGAATTCCAGTTTTAGATTTTAATAATTATTTTCGTGAATCCCCTGCCCGATTCAGGCAGTGATATTGCCCAGCTGATGGATTCAGTGTTTATCAGACGTTTGTTTCTCTGCACCCAGATGAGTGGCTGCTGCCCCAGTTTTTTTAATTGGAAATAGAACAACACCCATGTTGATGGAGATAAGAAATAAGTCAGCTTTATACTGGGTATCAGCAGCCCTTATCAGAGGAGAACACCATGAGCAAGCTGAAGCAAAATGTTTAACAGATACTTTGCAGGGCTGCAGGACAGATTGGATGCATTTTAAAGATGAAAGTTTACAAATTATTACAAATGACAGTGCTTATCTTGCAGGCATTAAATTAAATCAAAACGTGAGGACTGGGCAGGCAGATTTACTGAGGTGGAATAAATATGAAAAACGAAATGCCATTTTGCATCAGCAGTGAAGGATATAGATTCTGATACACATTAACAGAGACAATAAGTTTCCTTTTTCATTTAACTATGAGAAATACTACCAAGTTGCAAAATTCAAAGAACAAAACAAAACCCCAACTGTGGATGACCATGGTGAATTTAGCAATTACACATGGGAGGATGGAAGAAAGCCATTACGCTACCATACAGTTTCCTTATATGAATGCATACAGTGTTGAAATTGCATATGCTGTGCGGAGGAATAATGAAAACCAGCCTGAGCAGCTGTACCCTGGGTTCCTTTTAATTGGCTCTTCCCTACTAATGTGCTGTCGATGAGAGAAGACCTCGTGCTCAGGAATGGCTGTGAGCTTTATTATTTTCCTCATATATGAAGCAATTATTCTGATTTTAAACTCTAAATAGACAAGTATATGCTAGTCAAAAATAGAAAGAAAATACTTCTCTTAAACACAACTGCACAACTGTGTGCAGTAGTGTAAACGGAGCTGCTGAAGCGCAACCTGAGAAAGGAGTGAATTAATGTGCAATTTACTTCACTTTTACAGAAGTCCTTTTTACACAGTGAGCTTGGGACATTTTCCTGCATCACAGACAGATGCGTTTTTCATTACAGCAGATTGAAAAAATTGTCTTTTTTTATATATATTTGTTAGGTTTATTAGCCAAAATTTTCAAATACAATCCCTTAATGGTAGGCTCACATGGTGATTTCAGAGCTGTCAAACCATTTAAAGACTTCTACTATGCTGGGTATTTTTTCCCTGCGTGAAGCAGTTTATTGGTGTTTCAGATCCCCTGAAAACAACAACTGCTTTAAGTCCCTGAAGAATATGACTGCAGGAGAAGTCTAGCCCGGGGAGAATCTGGGACACGCGATATTCTGGGGATAATAATTTGGCAGGCTTAGTGATTTAGGTTTTAATGATTAGGATTTGGTTTCTAAATAGGAGGGGGTTGAACAGGCTCGGAGAACGTACTCATAGTGGTCTGAATGACCTGATGAAAGCAGAAAACCTAGACATATGTGCCACGGGGTATGGTAACAGGGGGCAAAGAACCCCAGATGGCACTGTAACGTGCATAATAGACTCTGCAGTGGGAGCACGGGGGCTAAAGAGGGGAGAGAGGTGGGGGGGAGCCCCCTTTGGTTACTTTAACCTTTCCCCATTTTCTGGCCAGCCTTGCTCCTAATGCAATATTCATCACCAGATCGTAAATGACCAAATGACAACCCTCTCTCTGCTCCCGTGGACTGCTTTGTCAGCTGCAACAGATGAACGTCGTAACTGTTTCCTCTTAAACCATATGCCAAAGGCGAAAGCGTGAGGATGTTGGGCGCTGGGAATTTTATTACAAGCATGCAAGATGACTCATCCCAATGAATATTGAACACCACAGTCACCATCAGTGTGCCTGTGTGGTGTGACATGAAAATGTCGCTCCTGTAGCTGCTGCATCTGTGCGGGGTCGGGTACAACCTGGTTTGACCAGGAGGCCTCCAGCTGCAGGAGCTTGGCTGCGCGTGGAGAGTAACCTAGACCTGGGAATGCAGTTAGTGCAGTTAGGTCTTCAAAAAGCAAGAGGTAAAGAAGTCATTCTTTTTCCTTTCATTCTTCTTCATTTCTGTTTCCTCTACTCACTAGGTGGGTTACAGAGTTAAACTCTAATTTGTAGGTACTGTGTTGCAGTAGTTGCTATGCCACGGAAGCCGGTGGGGCTTTTGACCTGCTGGTGATTTTGCCTGGGTGGGTCCCAGTGAAGTCACCAAAAGGCACTCTTCAACTTTGGAGGTCGTGCCAGGCGTGCGGTAAGGGCTACCAAACTGCCATTGTGAAGCAGCTCTTTGCAGAGCAATGGAAAAAACTGAGATTCCTTATGCAGTCTGAACCATCTCCTAATGAAGAGAGGCTTGTTATCGCAAGACCAGAAATTACTAATATAAAAAAACCTCCAACTTCATGGAATATTTTCACTTACAGAAATGATGCTACAAAGTTCACACGCTATCTCCGTGTTTCAGGGTTTGATGTTTGTCCCACAGCAGACAGTGGTGATTTCACCCGTGTCCCCTCAAGCTAAGGCACAAAGGCAGCTGCCTGCTTTGCTACTCTGAGCAACGGGGGTTTTGTAGCCGCTGCAGGAGAAATCTCGAATTGTGGGTTCAGGGCTGATAGGCTAAAATCCTTTTAGTGCCAAGGGTTTGGTCTAGATGCTGCTGCAATGCAAATGAAGAATTTTTTTCTTCCCAGAAGTCTTTGCAGATGGTTATTTTTAATTTAAAAAAAAAAATCTGTCACTGATGCCCTGTAAGTAGCTTCAAAAAAACCAGGGAGCAAACAGTTGGGAACGAGAGGGCAGACAATATCCAGTACTAATGAGCAATTCTGTTATTTCCATTTTGTATCAAATTAAATTATTATGGCGTCTCTTGTGATCTCATAAGCAGGATTGTTCCTGTGTAAGCAGAAGGAGATGATATCATCCTGAGCATGCACGTTGTGGAACGATGCCTTCAACACATTTTGAATTCAGTTATGTTTGTAAGATGTGGAATTTGCCTTTCCTAAAAGGAAGGATAAACTGTAGGAAGCGGGATAATGTCTGATACCTGCTTGCCAATTTGGGTCGCAGAGAGGGGAGAAGTACCAAGTCACAAAGAATCCTTTAGAGAGCCATTGATATTAAGTTTGCATCCCAAACCCAAAAGACTGTTTTAATATTGTAGTTCATTTGCCAGTGTAGATGTACAAATTCTTGTTTCAAACTTCTTGATCCAATGTGTGGATTTCAGGCCAAGATTTTTTTCTCTTCTTGATGTATGTAAATGTAGCCGTGCCAAATTTGCACCAGCAGCAAAACCCCATGAGAGAAGGACCAGGTCTAGGATGTTCCTAGCCCCTCACCAGCCAGAAATGTATGGCATTCCTACTCTCCCTGCCCCCTGAAATTTGCCTCTGATCAATTCTATGGTAGATGGGTTTTCAGCATCATAACCTTTGCTTCCTCCACCTGCTCAAATGCTGCTGAAACGGATTTATTTTGGCCAGACATGATGGTTACTTTCTCATTTAGCCACTGCAGAGCGGGACTCTGGTGCATTTTAAATAAAGATCTGTCTGTCTTGCCCTGACAGCCTTGTCAAAGCCATAGTGGTGCCGAGGAGGGACATGTAGGTTCAAAAGTGGTTTGATGTTGTTTTGCCGGTGGCCTCTTTCAGGGGACTTGGAAACCCTGTGCTGGTATGTGTGCGATGAGTGTGCGAGCGGGTCAGCGTGTTAGTCTGTGTGGGGTCTCCTTGCTGAACTTCATCTGTCCTCTGAAAAGGCGAGGAGAAGGATACCTGTTCTTCGCTGTAAAACCAGAACAAGTCTGCTTTAACATACTTGGTCCAGATTTTTGGACATGAGCAGAGCCATGTGAAATAAAACCCCCTGTTTTGTTTTGTTATTTTTTTTCTAATGTAAGACAGTAATGGAGCAAACTTGTGTGTTTGCCCTACCTCTACACATGCCAATAACCATTTTTTTTTGACAGATTTAGTGTCTTTAAAAAAACCCAACCAACAGGTAATGTGGTTTTCCATGACTTTGTCTTCGTTTACTTCTGGAGCAAAGCTCTTTGCCAGGGACAAAGAGAGGGACACGTGAGAGTGGGTGGTGGGAAGGAATAGAGAGTCTTTCCTTATGTGTTTAATTCAAATCCTTGGTGGATTTTTAGCTATTTAACCTTTCTTAACACCTGTATGAGTGTCTCCATGTCGATGTCCCTCCCAACCTCTCCTTTGGTTTGGTAAAGTTATGTTGTTTCAGTTCTGAAACTACAGCTTGTTTTTCTGGGCTCTTATTTTTAAAAGTTAAATGACTGAAAGTGCTGAACTAAAACTTGCTGGTGACACTGACTTTTTACCACCTGAAATTGGCAGTGATCACCAGACCAGAAATGGAAATTGGCAGGTACCACTGGATGTACAGGAGTTCAAGGCCACACCGGTACCATCATGTGCCAGCATTGAGAGGCAATATTAGTCCTTTGGGGATTCAAGGTAAATAAAGGGCTGGGTGAAAGGGAAATGGAGAGTTCAGAAATGGTAGTAGCATAAACCTAATGCTTTGCACTAGTCCTAACAATTTAAGATAAATGTTCCTCAATTTTTCTTGTTTTGTTTGTAAGGCTGTAAAGAATCTAGTTCTTTCATATGAATACTTGACATAAATTTAAATTTGGTTGTTAATGCTTGAAGGACAATAATGTGTGGTGAGGGACACCTCCCTTTTAACTGTGCTGCCTGATTGCTTCAAAACTGTTTACAGATGAGATGGCGTAGGATGGGTTTTGTATGCAGATGAATCTACCAACTGATCAGCCACAAATGCAGTAATTGACACTAAAGCAGTGACAGCACATCTGATTTACTGGTCTCCTACAATATGCTTCCTAGACAATATTCTGTGATTTTCTTTGCATTTTTCCCTTGCTAGAAGCAGTAAGTGTGTATGTCAGAGTCTAAAGGAGGATTTCAGCTGAGGCTTTAAAAATGGTTTGCTGATTCCACCTGCCTGTCCTTTTGATACCTGGCTTGAGACCTGAAAAAGATCCTATTTTGTTTTCCTGAAGCTTCATTTTAAGAGTTTGGGGGGAATTTAGTTTTGAAGCGTCTCAGAAAGGCACCTGAAATCAAGCCACGTGATTGATTGCATTGGAAAATTCCAGTCTGACTGAGGGTTAGCACAGCGAAGGATATAAATGCTCAGAGCTAGCATTTGCAGCTAGCTCTATGCAGCAGTCCTCTTCTCTTTATGGAACTGATTGACTGAAGCCTGTTTGACAGCTTGTTTGCTGGAGATGCCTGCCTCCGCATCAGAGACTTTAACAGGAACTGCAGGGAAATATTCACCAAAGCTTGCTGCCTAATCCTTCCCTTTTCCATTATATTTGCACACACGTTTGTTCTTTAGCATTCAAATGTTTATGTAGTTCAAAATGGCTTTTTTTTTTAATTTTTTTTTTTTTTGGCAAATACTTAGGTTGCAAATCATGATCTCCATCTTCAATATCAATATTCGTTTTGGCCATATTTTATGACAAATTACCTGGGTGACAGAATCAGGGCTGCCAGAGACATTCTCAAACTTCAGATGAATGCATGTGGCATATTTTATACACGGGAGAAATGCTTCAGGAAGGAGCGACAGATGATGAATGCTGCCTTCCTGGGAAGGAGGACACGGAGGGAGCAGGCTAGGTGCCTGGTTATCAGGGTCTTGTGCCCCATCAGCTGTCCCCAGTGATGAGACACGTCCGTATGTGCCGGCACGGATGAGCCAGGACGCAGAGGAGGCGCACAGCCTTCTGTCGCAGCAGCTGGGAGTCTGGCACGTAAAATGGTGCTAGAAACCCTTGTTTCGGCAACTGAACCCTATGCAGGCTGCCTTGGGAAGCTTCCAGAAATAACATGCAGGTAAATGTGGTGCCTGTCGTGGAGGAGTTGAAGATGAAAAGGTTCTTGCTGGTGGGGGTAAAAAAAAAAAACCCAACAAAAAACCCCCCACCAACAAAGCCCAGAAATACCAACTCAAGGGAAGGTGCTTTAAATGGTTGAAATGGTTGCACTTAAGGAAATTAAAAGGTTTCCAGGCAGCAATGAAACTGCTCTGAACAGGTCTTGAGTAAGACCAATCTGCCAATGATGGATTAGCCACAGTGAAAATACTGGTCTTTGCTCGTCTCCCTTAGATCCAAGGCAAAATGTCACTTCAGTCACAAGTCACAGATGTAACGTGCTTCCCTTCGGTACTGGGATACAGCTCCCCACTACTGGGTGGCATTGGCTACTGTGCTGAGATAAACTCTCAGTTTCATAAGCCACATCATTTTTTGGGTGCCTTTGCCGTGTAGACATTTCCAGTTTGTCTGCTCTGTCAGTGTCCGAATGGACATCGCTAGGGGAGCACCTCTGTGGCAGTCCTGGTGGCATCCACCTCTTCTCCCAGGCTTTCCCCATAAGACATGATCTCCCTGCCCCATTTTAAGATTTAATCCAGAACTTGTGCAACAAGGGAAGAGTCAGCGTGGGATACTTGCTGCGGTGCTGGAGCCAAGACATCCCCAGAACACCTGCAAACTTAACGAGCCTTTCAAAACGCCTAAACCATTTTTTTTTCCCAGGAAGCAAACTACCATCTTTTTCTTTAGTAAGAGAAGTAAGAGAAACTTAGCAATGGTTGTTTGACATGAGATTAGCTGTAGGCAGTCTTCCGGGCTGGGTGGGCGTTGTTTGCTTTATAGGAATCTTTTTTTTTTTTTTCCTTTAACTTGCTTCCCCCAGATGCTGGGAAGTGTTTCAGCTGCCTTGTGAGCACACAGGGGCATGAGAATGTGGAGTATCTCACTGAAACAGCCTGTTCCCTTACTGCAGCAAGCTGAAATTTTGAAAATGGCGAGGCGTAGACTCAACTGGGGCAACGCATGCATGAAAGCTGTTGCAGGGCAAAGGACTTCTGCAGTTGTGGTTCAGGTTTCTTACTGCTCCTCTAGTTCCGTAGTCGGGTAAATGTCTGGGAAGATCTTGGCAGCTTCAGTTATCTCTGAAATGGAGAATTTACCTTCTGAATCTTAGATCCACCAGGCTGAAGTCCCCACACATGCTATTTTTGGTCTTCAGCTCAAGGGAGAGAGAGGTTGTGTTTCTGTTTGCTTCTTTGTAGCTAGGGAGGAGTCAACTGGGGAAGTGGTCGGTAGCGGTGGCTGAAATCCCGTGTGGCAAAAGTCTTGCTCTCCTGCTGAGTGCTGAAGGCTGATGGAGAGTGAGGTGAGTTACAGCTGCCAGAAGGGTGGAGCTAAGAGTCTCGACTTCAGTCTTCCAGGTAAGATACTCACCTTTGATTCAAGTAAAGTCAGCCTTAAAAATTACGTCAGCCAAGTACAGGTGGGTCTGGAGGATGGCTGAATCAAGGAAACTCAAGTGGCCTTACAGAAGGTTTCACAGAACTGCTGAAGCTGAAGCCCATGGGATTGAAATGTTCAGGTACTTTTGTACTTCCCTCACGAAGCTTGTCTGCACCTTCAGGCATTTTGAATATCTTTGGCAGTCTGCCCGTCGCTTCATCCATTTTACCTCTTTGGCTTGAGTTTGTCCAAAAAAATCACTTGGGCTGGCACCTACTGAAGCAGCAGTTCTTCTGTGTTGACCCTACTGGGTGCTTCTCCCAGAAGGGAAAAATAGGTGAAGCAGGTGGAGTTGAGGTCAGGGTGAGGACAGAAAGGAGGAATGTCTTCAGGCACATTGACCAGTGAGTTGTTGATATCTAACTCTCAGCTGACAGCCGCAGCTTGGACCAGAGGCTGCCCTTGTTGGTGCAATGTGTTCGCACTTTGAGCTCTGCGTGTCAATGAGCCCTTCCGCATGCTCAGACTGCGCAAAAGTCCCAAGAGTTATTTTGAGTAGTAAAACACGAGAATGAGTTTCCAGGAGGAATAATGACAAAGCTTATACCAGTACTGCCTAAGCTATTCTTTATATGAGAAGTCTTTTTAAAAATCATCTCCTTAATTTTTTTTCTGCAGAGGTAGCTTATAGCTAAAAAATACCCATCCTCAAGGTTTCCCATATAGACCTGTTTGAAGTACAGCCTTTTCCAAAGTACAGATTAAGTATTTTTCTCCTGCTGTGGTTTCCACTGTTTCATGGGCCAAAAGTAAAACAGGGAAGACATGAATTTAAATAAACAAAGTTTTGCCTGACCTTTGTCCAAGACTATTAAAGCTGGAGAAGAGCAATTCTCTCGTCCAACTGTCTCATAGGGCAGTGGCGTTCTTCCCGTGGAGGTGTGAGTCCTCGCTCTCACACAGCAAACGCCTGGGATGGGCGCATGCAATAAGCATGGATGCAGTGATTCATATTTCATAGATTGCACTGTCTGAAAAAGACACCTTCAGAACACCTGTGAGCTTAATGAGCCTTGCTGAGGCTGGGAGTGATATTAGATGGGGAATGTGTGTATTTCAATAAATTTGAAGATGATAAATTAGATAAGGCCTGTAAAAGACCATTCGGATCATCTGTCCTTGCATGAAACGGGTTTCATTCCTGCAGTGGGAATGCTAATTTTTTTTTTTCTGTAAGAAGTGCTGTTTTGGGCCTGAGATTTGAAAAAAAAAAAAAAAAGGGGGGGGGGTTATGTTTACTGCTGTCTGTTCTTAGATTCTTCTCTGTGTCATTTAACAGCATCCAGAAGAGAGAAATCTTGTCTTGGTAAAATAGCCTTTTCTCTAATTTGAACATCAATTTGTTTTTGAAAACAATTTGTTTTCATTAGTGAAAGGGAAAAAAAATAGCTTTTTCTGTTGATCAACACTGACAACCTCTGCAAGGGCTTTGTTGTGTTTTTTTTTTTACTCACGTTAGGAAAAAAATGTGCTTGATTTTAAACCTATGCTTTCTGTATTTTTGCTGGAGTATTAGGAGCAGTTTATTATCATTACTCATAGAGTACCACAGAGATACGTTGTGCTTTGTGGACTTAAAAAGGAGTCTGCTAATGGTGCTTCCAGGCTGCGAGATGCTTGTTCTTAGCGTGCACCAATTCTCCTGGTTTCTGTGTGCCTGTTCCAGCACAAGAGGCACGAGGAAGGACTTTTACTTCTATGCTACACAAGAATATGGAAGCATCTAATGAAGTTTAAAGATGGCAGGCTTAAAACTGATAATGGACAATAAATACTTTCTCAGAAGTGGGGAACTAACTGTATGGCAGTGCTGAAACCATACATATCTTATGTATGTATCAAGAGTATCTGGAGAAGTTGTAACTAATGCTGATAACCTTCAGAAAGGAGCTACTTGTTCTTTGAGTAGCTCTTAAACAGTAGTGGTTGGGGTGAGACTTACTGAATGAATCGGACTGCCCCAGCTCTCACTGCATTTCACTTGAATGAAGCATCTCATGCTAGCCACTGAGAAGGGTGAGAGTGGTGGTATTGCTGGATTGCAGGTCTCATCTTTTGTGGCAGCCCTGATGGCTGTGGTCTCCAAAGGTCACGTCT